AGTAGCTGGGACTACAGGGACACAACAATGCCCAGCTAGTTTTTTCTTTTCTATTATTTAGTAGAGATGGGGTCTTGCTCTTGCTCAAGCTGGTCTCTAACTCCTGAGTTCAAGCAATCCACATGCCACAGCCTCCCAGAGTGCTGGGATTACAGGTGTGCCACTGCACCCAGCCTATAATGCTATACTGTTGAGAGTTCTACCAGTTAGTACTATTTAAAAAATAATAATAACATTGCATGTAGATTTACAGTAATCTTTGGGACTGTAAATGTTTATGGAAAAGAAGCTGGGTAAAGCTGCTTACTGCACAAGGAAGGCATAGTTTCTGAGAGATAGAGATAGAATCAGGTGAAGTGAAGGGCAATGCTACACCATAGACCAGATACCTATTCTCACGTAAGCAGAGGACAAACGACCTCTCATTTTACCTCACTGGAAAGAGCCACTAAATACCAGATCTCCTTCTCCAGAGAGGTCCCACTTGTGAACCTGGGTACCATCCTGCCTGGCAAAAAATTTAACAAATGTTTTCCCTACAATTCCAAACTTCCAGTCCACCCTTCTCCCCTCGCATCACAGTCTGAAGTTCTTAGCCCTGCAGAGTGCTTGGTCTTTTCCTGAGAGATCAGGGCATAGTGTGGACCACCAAACATCAGGACAGAATGTGTGACTAGTGGGAAGGAAAGAGGGCATGGGAAGAAAGGGACACGTGGAGGAAGGAGCAGCAGTCCCCTGGTTATGACTTTGCCCAGCCACTGGTGGTGTTGACCCTCGATTCTGGTGGGAGGGGTTGCAGAATACGTTGCTCTGACAGTGCCCGCAAGCAGGAGAGTGGTTGCATGGTGTGAACTGAGCCCTGCCAGTGGGGGCAAAAATCCTTGGCTCCAACTGAGCTGATGAGCAGAGGCTTGCCAGGTGGGGACTGAGCCCTGTGGGTGGGGGCGTGAACCTACGGCTCCAGCTGAGCTGGTGAGCAGAGATATGGATGCCCAGAGCCAATTGAGCCCAGCAGGTGTGATCCTAGACTCCCAGCTTGATAGTGCCCAGGGGCAGGGGCATTGATGCCCAGTTGGGACTGTGATGGGCAATTGGGGACTCACCAGAGGGGACTGGGCGCCATACCCTCGGAGTTGCAGGACAGAACTGACTCAGGATTTCTATCCACACTTGGAGACCCTCGGATCCCTCTCTGTTGAGCAGGGTTTGTACTGCTCAACAAAAAATTGATTGGAACTCGGATCTGGGGCTGTCCACCTAGGGACACTCTGAGGTTGACCTTTAAAGTTCTGTAGCAGAAAAGAACTGAATGGGGAGGAGGGCACTGCAGCTGTCTGTATCATTCCCCAGCTGAGAGTTAAACCTAATACCATGACTTCTTAGAATAGGGTAAGGGTTGGCTGATTTCAAAACAGAAATGTTTGAAAGTGTTTCCTTTGAAAATGTTTCAAAACCTACTATCTCATGAAGTAGGTCCCCAGAGACTCTGGCCAAAACTCTGAAAGGGGCCTTTGTAAGGTTGTAGGGGATACATCACAATTCTAAAGCTTAGCACTTTGGTATGGGGCTGATTAACTCTACTACCTGGGACCCCCCAATTCAATCTCAACCTACCAGTTTTAATAACCAAATGGCAGAAAATAAATGTGACATGGGGTGGAACCAACAGAAGAACTCTGGCAACATGAATCACCAGAGTAGATCAACCCCCCCCCAACCCAAGGAAAGAAATAGGAGATATAACTGAAGATGCCATGCATAGACAAATGGCTGAAATATCAGCAATAGGATTCAGAATATAGATGGCAAATAAGATGAATAGAATAGAGGAAAAGTTAGAAATTGAAATCCAAAGAGTAGTTCTAAAGTTGTCTCAAGAAATTAATGAAGGCCCAGTGCCTATAGTACAGTGGATAGGGTGCTGGCCA